CCAGCTGGGCATCCCCGGGGTCCCCCTGCTGAGGGCGCCCGGACCTCGGGGTAGCGCTGTCATTTCACGCCATCCCAGCCTCCTCCAGCACCTGGGGATCCGAGGTTCCCCACCCCTAACCCGGGGAGCTCGGCCCCATGAAAGGCAGCGCTTGGAGACTGTTCAGGGAGGGGCCCTCTCCAGAGGTCACCCCCTGCTTCCCTAACGCTTTCAGAGGAGCTAAACAGCACCCCCACCCCCTTCCCAAGAGAAAGTTTCACAAGGAGACTGGCCCTTGCAAGGCCGGCCCACCCACCAGAGGAAAGGGGAGCAGAGCCCAGCCACAGGTCACAGAGAATGGAAACATCCAGGAAGTAGAAGCTCCCGGTGTCGGGCTACGGAGGGACATGCCAAGCAATAGGCAGGGGAGAGAAGGCACCTCACCCAGGACGATTTAGGCGACTGGAGCTGGAGCTTTGGGCTTGGGCTAAAAGAAACCCAATGGGAGGTGTAGGAAAGTATGCCGATGGCCACCCTGAATGGATGGGATGAAGTCAGAATGCGTCAAGCCGTCTGACCGTCCTCTGCACCCGTGGGCACTTAAAAAGCAAACATTTGATTTCTCAATGCTCATCCTCTGGTTTCCTGCACCGACCTTCCTGCCTAGTTGCAGCTACCTTCTTCAGCACCTCTCCAGTTAAACTCAGTCCCTGTTGCCACACTACTCATTCTGCCATGGTCTCAAGCAGGTGCAGTGCCCACTGCAAAAGGAAGGCTCTACCCAGCCTGCCAGCCAGCCTGTCTTCCATCACATATCTGGGTGTATTGTCTGAGGAAGCTCTCTAATAGGGAAGGAGCTAAGATGTGTGGAGCCCCATTTCGGTGGTGGGCTCCCTAACTCAGGGCTGAAGTCCCAAGGAAACCATCACCTCTTAGCAACCAGTGGTCACCCTAGTGAAGAGAAGACCTTGTGTGTTGTGCTGAAGAGATAAGGGTTGGAGCCCACCCCAGCAGCCTTTGCAGCTCCACAGTCAGGCAGCCAGTAACTGTGGTGGATACAACAATATCTGAGAACACACCACGAGGTTCCATGGAGCAGTGGAGTGTTGCAGGTAGATGAGGGAGGCCGATCATCCCTGCTTCTCATTCCAACAGCCAGTAACAGCTAGAATCCAGTTTATCACCCAGACTTTGGGATTATCCCAAGCACTTTCCTTGATTTATTCTCTTTAATACTATAGGATAGGCAGGGTCAGGATGTATTATTATGTTGATTCTGCAAATGAGGAAACTGAGGCATAGTGAAGTCAACTTGCCTATGGTCACACATCTAGAGAACTAGGGTAAGAGAAGAACAGGGCCTGGATTTCAGGCAGCACTGCCTGTGGTAGAGACCTGTTGTTTCTCTGCACCCTCACTTCCTTTCACACAGTTGACTTTTCCCTTCCATGATAATATGTACATGTATATATGTGTATATGTGTGTGTAAATAAATAAAGTGCTGTAGAAAAACAAAGCTAAGGATATTCCGACACTTATTATGGAAAAATGCTTGCTAATGAAATTTCTTAGCAGTGGAGAAGATTGTGTTAGAAATGAGATAAATCAATTTGCTAACAGTCAATATTGAAATGATAAAAAATAAATCAAATTCAAATGAGTTCAGTTCAATAAGCATGTATTAATTAAGTTCCTATGAAATTTCTTAGCAGTGGAGAAGATTGTGTTAGAAATAAGATAAATCAGTATTTATATTCATGGCAGCAAACAACTGGAAGTGAGAGGTATGCTGTTTGGTTGGAAAATGCTTACATAAATTCAGGCCACAGAGAGGTTCCTCATATCCCTAATTCACAGTTAAAGAGAGCCCGACTTCTCAGCTGAATAAGTTAATCACAGGTATGTGCTAGGCATGAATAAGGCCCATTGAATCAGTTAATCCATCGGTCGAAGGCATTTTACCTGGATGTCCTTGTTCAGTTGGAAATACCACTGGCTGAAGTGAAATGACGCCATATGGAATTGTGTTGGGACTGCGTGAAGAAAGTCAACCACGTCCTGTGGGTTTTGTAGAAAGTAACTGATCACTTCAAAACCAGGAGGTCTGGAGCATCTGGAAGCACAGGATAGAGCCAAGCTCAGGAGATGAAATCTCTTGAAGGAAGAGGGGGAAGGAGGAATTCTCTGACTCCTCTCCCCACCCCACCCCCACTTCCCTGTTCTTGTGAATTTTGGAAGATTAGAGGATTTGGACTCCCAAGGAGTCCCTGGGACAATAGTGGTTGGTAGCAGTGTCTGCACTGGGAGTTGAAGACAAGCGAAACTCATTAAATCAGAGAGCTGCAGCGTACCGAAGGGGGACGTTGTGAAGACTAGCAAAGGGGCTTCTGGGAGCCACGAGCTACCCTCTTTGCTGAGAGCGTGAGTATGCTCTCCCCAGGACTCTGTATGTACTTGTGGGAGAACGTGTTACAAATGTTTGGAGGGACAGATTGTTCTTACTACACCGCCTTAGTAAATACCCCTATCTACAGGCTAATTCACTCTGGCTGACTCATTGATAGCAATTGCTAGTCATGGGAGGTGGGGTGGGGAACACACTGGAGGGGGCTTGGGAGCCATAGTCATAGCCAGGGTCTAGGGACCTGACTCAGCAGTGAGAATTGAAGACTGGGCCAGTAGCTCAAGACCCCCATGCCACGGTGGCATGTGAATGTAACATAACATTACTTACTACCCCAGTAGAAATGGCAAATATGGGGAATGTAGAGAAGAATGGGAAAACCTAAGAACTGATGCAAAACGCAGTACACAGAACCAGGAAAACAACATGCACATGACTACAGCAATCGACAAAAGGACAAGCAGTTACAATGGTGGAGATTCAGCAACGTGTGACCGTAGCCATCACAAGAAGATGTGTCCCCCTGCTTCCCTTCTCAGAGGAAAGGGCTGACTTGGGGCCCGGGATTCTAGAGCCTGGGGAAGACGGCTCCCAGAGCAAGGCCCAACCCCACCGACTGTCTGCCGACTGGCCCCAGAATTGTTGCTGTTCAGTCGTTTCAGTCGTGTCCGACTATTGGGTGACTCCATTTGGGGTTTTCTTGGCAGAGATACTGGAGTGGTTTGCCGTTTCTCTCTGCAGCTCATTTTATACATGAGGAAACTGAGGCAAACAGGGTGAAGTGACTTACCCAGGGTCACACAACGAGTAAAAATGTGGTCCGAGGCCAGATTTGAACTTGTGAAGAATCTTTCTGATTCTCGGCCCAGCGCTCCATCCACTGTGCCACCTGACTGCCCAAGACAGCAGGCCTTTCTCTCTCAGCCAGCAGCAGGCCATCTTACTCTGATTCCTCACTCCTGGCCACCTCTCCACCACATATGTTGCCTTCTCCTATTAGAAAATCAGGTCCTTGGGGACAGGAAGTGACTCCTGTATTTGCATCTCAAGCACTAAGCATGATATCTGGCACTAGTAAGTGCCTAGTGAATGCATTTTTCCATTCATTCATTCATTCATTCACTTATTCATTCATACTTTGTATTGATTAGTTTTGTTGGACTTTCTTTCATTCTTTGTTATAAGGGATATCTCCGGGTGGAGGGCTATGGGAAACAAATTGCGTATTGAAGATGACATAAAGACAAGAGATCAATACTCTTCTTTTTGAAGTTAGTAAAATTACTTCACGTTGGCAGGTGGGAGACTATGGGAATGGAATACAGTTTGTCTTATCATGCATGATTAGTATGTTGATTTTCCTGGCTTGTTTTTTTTACTCTTAGCAAAAAAAAAAAAAAAACAAAAAAAAAACCTCTTTCTCTGAAAGCCAAGAGGAGGCTGACATTCCAGGGAGACTCTGGGTTCCGGGAGAAGCAATTTCTTCTCAAGTTATGCTTGGGGTTGTTATGAGGCACTTCCTTCAGGGCAAAGAATAAAATTTGGAGTCCTTAATTAGATCTGTTAAAACACCACTAGATTATTAGGAGGTCACTTGTTCCATTCCTAAAATATTATTTCATCCCTACCACCCCCATCATCATTAATCATCATCATCATTAATGGTAATAGTCCTA